AAGCCTCCACCATCTTCCAAGGATACATGACTAACTGGAATCTGAGGGCACTTGAATGGCTCACCTGTTTAAAGGATTTGTTGTTCTGCCCTAACTGGGCCACCATCCAAAAATGTGACTAAAATAGGAGGCCGAGTGCTGAACCCTTGCTGGCTTCAAGGGTAAGCATCCTATGTAGTTGCACAGGGCCCCATGCTGAGAAGGGCCCTGTGTGGTTCAATGCTCTGCTGATGGCATCTTGGTGAGCATGAAATGTGAGCAGAGGAGAGATGAATAATGTGTGTGTCCCCTGTTCCTTGCTGCCTCATATGATCTAGTGTTCATGATGCCCTGTGAGCACAGGATTTCATTTAAAAAATGTAAATGTTATAAAGCAGAAAGTGAACAGTGAGTGAAATCAGTTATATGGTCTTTATATGGTCTTTGATTAATCTTTTCAAATGTAGAAGCAAATTTTCATTTGTATTAAAGTTTGGCTAACAAAAATCTTTCAAAACATGAGATCCGTGTTAGGAGAAGGAGGAGGCTAGAGAGGAAGGGAAGTGGTGGGGGCAGGAAGGGGAGGAAGACGGGGGAGGAAGAGAAGCAGCAGCATCCATAAGTCCAGACGAGGGTGAGAACCACTGCAGGTCGCCCACTCTACCATCAAAGAGGGTACGGGAACTACTTTGGAACAGGCCAAGGAACATTCAGAGCAATTTCCCTTAACATTTCCTGAGCCTCTGTAACATCCTCAACTCTTGAATTCTTGATATTTTACAGTAAAGCTCCTTAAGCCTTTAAGAAAGAGCATATGCCTATACAGGGGGCAGTGAAAACAGAGGGAAAAGTTGTTCAAAAGCAGCTGCATTCCTCCCTATAGCTTGTGTTAGAAAGGCACCCAGAGGAGGAAAGGAGTGCTTGGCTGGCCTGGGGCATAACCAGCAGGAGGCCATGTACCCCTTGACTACTGACAGGGGCGATCTGTGCTTAGACACAATTGTACAGCAGTCACCACCCCACCAGGCCCCTTCTCACCATGAGCCCTTTTCCAAACTATTCGCTGTTATCATCAGACACTTGGGCGTTCCGTGCCCCTCTACTTAGTTGAGCTTTCCAGGCTTAACTCAGGCATCCGTACACCAGGCTAGGAGTTATGGACCATTTCCTCAGTTTACAGGATGAGGAAACTGAAGCTTAGTGAGGTCATGCAACACATGCAGGGTCACATGGGGAGGAAGGGGCAGAGCCCGAATTTCAGGCTGGACTGTCTGACCCAGAGCTGGGTTCTCTGCCCTTGGCCGGCACGCGTTTTCCTTGCCTTCTCTGCGCTCCAGCTGTGGCTGACGTGAGTGCCACGCAGTTTGCACTCAGCTGTTTTCCTATCTCTTCCTGGGAGTGACTTTAATCTCCCCAACAGCTACATCCTCAGAAGTCAGGTCTCTGTATTTCTCAGGCCTGAAGAGTCATGGCTCCTAGCAGGCACACGGTGAATCTGTGAATACTGATCCCCTCCCAACTCTGTCTGCTCTATGGTGTGCTGTCTTATAAGTACATACGTTAAGAGCCCAGGAACTCACAAGAGAGCCAGAGCAGGAACAGGTACAAGAAGCAAAGTCAGTAGTCCAAAGGAATTAACGGGAATTCTGATTTGTACTCCCTTCTTTTTTCTCTTCTTTCTCCTCAACCAATCACCTAAACAATCCAACAAAACAGCCAAACCTCCTTCTCCATCCGTAGGTATACTAGTAATATAGAATATTATATATAAATAGTACATACTATAACTATATTATAGTATAAATGGAATACACTAACTCCCATGGGATTTATTTAGTAAAAGTGGTGGTAAACATATATTCTGTGCCCCAACCCCAGGCACAATGCTGGACACAGGAGTCATACTGCCGTTTGCAAATGTATTTATAGGAAGAGACAACATGAGAGATGTTTTACATGAAGCTGACGTAGCTGCTGTAAATATGGGTCAGGGTGAGCCACTATATCGCTGTCCTCTAGGCTCAAGAATCACTTAGAGAGAAGGGCTCCTCTCCATTGCCAACTACTCAAGAAAAACGACGCTGAGTGGACATCTCCTGGGCAAGAGGCAAGTCTGGGCAGCTTGCCTAGGAACATACCCAAAGGAGGATGATGACAGACACAGTCACCCTAAATAGGCAGCTTTCATCTATCAGCGTGTGGCACAGCCACTTTGTAGATATTCAATGTGTCTTCCTGTCTAGTGCTCATCTCACGCAAGCTTCAGAGTTCCCATATACCCCTTGTTGTTGTATTGCACGCAAAATCATTTTCATATTAACTTTGACCAAAAATCCAGGAAATTAAACCAGTTGCAGAAAAACACCCATATGATGAATTCCATGGCCAAGCAGACATGATCTGTGGGATAACCACTTCCAAAGTCTACATCACAGCCTTGGGTCCTCCTTGAGGGTGGGTGTGCATTGCTTCTAGCTGCGGTACTATTATTTCCTCTTGCAATTGAAGAGGCCCTTATGAGTCTTCTGATACAATGGTTTTCCAGTTTTATTTTAGTGAGAGTGCACTTTCTTCAAAAGAAATTATACCTGGAAGCCAATCCGTAACTTGATTTAACTCTGAGCTGTTGGTGTGAGGGAACCAGGCCCCGCCTATGGGGCTTGCTCCTCTCTCAAAGGCTCCTAGAAGCACAATTTGAAACACATGCAGCCGTTCTACCCATATTAAGTTATTCACCACTCACTAACACAACCTTTCTTGGGCACCTACTGTGTTCCAGGTGCTGGTGGGCCAGCTAGTAACAGGACGAGGGATGCTCTGCTCTTCTGAAGCTCACAGTGTGGCCTGACATAGCAGAAAATTCAGATGGTAGTAAGTGCTATGGAGGAGTTAAATCAGGGCACTTTGATTGTGACCAGGAGGTGGCTACTTTAGATTAGAGATCAAGAAAGGCCTCTCTGAGGAAGTGAAACATGAGCTGGGATCAGGAGGACAATCTGGAAAGATGCCTTGATTTTGAACAGTGAAAAAATAAACACAAAGAGGTGAAGTGACTTTCCCAGGTCACATGGAGGGTAGGAAGCTGAGCTGGAACTTGACCCTGGGTTTCCAGGCTCCCTGGCCACGGCTCTTTCCTTTCACAATGTTTACCAAAGAGCTACTACATTCAAAGATATCTCATGACAGGTGACACGCAAGGACTGACAAACCACCAAACACTTCCTGGTGTTTAGGGCTATCTGTAATGACTTTTGACAGCCTCCCAGCCCTCCTCAGCTTGGTACAGCTTTGGGGCTCTGTAACCCAGAAGACAGCACCTTGCAGTTGACATCCCTGACCCATGACCTCAGTTGGGAAAGCTTCTTCCTCCTCTCTTATCTTCCTGGCTGCAAATGGTAGAAAGTGTTCCTTACTGCTTCCATTGTTGGCAAGAGGATAAAAGCAAGATGATAAGTATAAAGCCTCCTGGCTCACTTGGAGGAAGGCTCTCTGGAAGTCAAGCCGCTCTAGGGCTAGGACTTAAAAGCCAGCCAAGCTAGTTTTCCCCTTGTGCTGCAGAAGGCATTCACACAAAAACTATGTACACTACCAAGACCTGTGTGCATCTCACATACCCAAAGTCCAAAGTGCTCTAGGCAAATACTCCTATTATGTTGAATATCACAAGGAGCAGTATGCAAATAGTTCCCTGTATGACCCACAAACCAAACAGCTCCAGGACCCCAAGTGTTCGCCACACCTCCTGCTTGGCACCTGTGGGCCCAGCATTTGCCTTCACCCTCAGAGCCTTACCTCTGTCCAAGTACTTTCCAGTCATTAGCTAATTTGAACCTCCAGCTACATCATGAGATAGGTAGGGACAGCTCTGCACATGAGACAACTGAACCCCAGAGTGACATGTGCAGGGAACACTGTTACTGACATAGTAACAACCACTAAATTTTGATTCAAATCCAGGTCTCCCGACTCTAACTGCAGATTCTTTCCACTATAATCCAGCTGCCCACAAATTAAACACAGATCATTCACTCTGGCCTCATTCTCTTCTCCACCCTTCCACCGCCACCCTCTGTCCTAGAGTATATTTAGGAGTTTTCCAGAAGCTGTCTTTTCTCTCCACACCACCCCTGCCTCACAATGTATGCCAATGTCCTAGAGACCTCTGTGGTACTTATTCCTGCACACTGAGCCACTGAGACCCAAGTTGAGTTGCTCTCCTGCCCAATCCAAATGAGCCTTCCTCTTTTTCATATTTTCCAGCCAATTCACGCATATGAACACTGTTCCTATCACTGGTGAAAACAATACATACTAGAACCTTCCACACTTTCCTTCTTTCCATACCAAGCTAGCCTAGCCAACTGCACGAGTAGGAATTGGCAGGTGAACACAGGTGACAGGGCCTACAGAACCATGTTCTCCAAAATGCACAGCTGTGCCCATGGGACTTGTGGACAGCCCTCCACAGGCAGACAGACCCACTGAGAACAATCCAGTGCATGTATGAGACGCACCAGCTGCCAGCATTTAGTAAACCTTGTTTTGCATGGGGAACAGAGCCAAGGGCTGTACAATTTTAGCTAGGATTACTCTGGACCTGTAACCTCGGGTTTAGGCATAAGAGCCTGTGACTAGCATTCAGGGTGGACAAAGAGAATAACATTTTGAAGAGAGACAGACATGCACTTAACACGCTGGACAGTACAAGGCACTGAGGGCCCCAGAGCTCTCTTCCAAGACCTTCGTGCAGAAATCAGGAGCACAATTACGGACACAAATGCTGGGGACCCTGTAGACTAGTGCTTACACCCATCCATCCTGAATATCCCGAGGATTCGTGCCCCACTCCTTATCCAAAGTCGGCCTGCTCCTGTCCGCTGGCGCCTTACACAGTCCAGCTCCGAGGACCAAGCAGAAGAGGGGGCGCCTCCTCCCCGCGACCCATGAGCCTGGCGGAGACCCCCTCCTTTTCGCGCGCTCCCGCCCCGCGGGCCCTCCAGAGCCCCGCGCGCTGCACTTACCGGCCGTGGGCAGCAGGGCTTGGTTCGCAGTCGGAGAGCGGAGCCCAGAAGCGGGGCGGCGGCTCGCAGGGCCGCCCCCTGTCCGCACGCCCCGCGGCGCTCCTGGCTTCCCACCCTGAGAA